CACCCTTCCCCTTGCACACTCCCTCATTTCCTTCCCCATCTTAGCCTCTTCAGCCTTTCTTTCATTTTGCTTCATGCCACCCCAATACTGAATCCATGTCCCTGCTTTCTCTCACTCTCTCTCTCTCTCTCTCTCTCTCTCTGCTCAGGGCCATAACACAGGAGTGAAAGCTTGTGTGTGTGTGTGTGTGTGTGTGTGTGTGTGTGTGTGTGTGCGTGTGTGTGCAAGTGCCACATGCATATGTGCCTCATTATGTCTCTAAATGTTTGTGAGAGGATGTAGATCGGGCATCTGTGTGTGTGCATGGTTCCCCATCTTATGACATGTGCTGTGACTCCAACACGATCAGATCTGGTTTCCATGACTACCGATGCCCCACTTAATGCTGCTGCTCCAGAGTTTGTGTGTCTATGCATGTGTGTCAGTGTGCACATACGTGCATACCATATATTTCAGCGAACATGTGCATTCCTTTGAGTGCACATATATCTGTGGGCATCCATATGCAGCATGCATCTCTGCATATTTTGTTTGTGTTTTAAGAAGAGGATTCCTCTGTGTGTAAATGTGAGCGTGTGTGTGTTTCCTCACAATAAGGCACGCAGTTTAATCTTTAATGCAGCTGAAACTACAACAAGTACACAGAGCCAGGGGAAGTGTGTTTTCCAGCAGACTTCTTTACCATGTCAGCAGGAGACTAAATCGGGGGACACAGTATGGATCGGTAGTGAACATAGTTCTCGACACTCAAGGACACCCAAACAACCAAATAACCTCCAGAGGATTCTTTCAACAGAGGAACAAAGCATTTCCTGCAGTAACATCAGGTCTCATTTTCCATGCCGTACCACTGCTGCGCATTTATATGTTAAAATGTTCAACAGATAATAAGTTGAGATCTCAGTCATTCATTCAGTCCCTTGCACTGACTGAAATGTCAAACATGACCTTTCTTTTAAGATTTTGTGTGCCGATACATTAAGACGCAAAGAGGAACAAGAGAGATTACTACAGGAAAAGTGACCTGCCTTATTCATTTTCCTGTCACTGTATGCATCAGCAGGCTGCCAATACCATGCGCCTGAAAGCACAGGGTGATCTTATGAGAATACACAGCAGCGAGAGCTGAGATGAAGTCTATTTTTCTTTGGTGCCATAACTGTTAAAGCACAGATCCACATATGCGTCATACTTTACACATCAATTGCGTCTGCACACACCCTAGCAGATACATACCCTCACACACACACACATACATAGAGGAAACTCCTCCGGTGTGGGTGTTCAAATCAAAACAAACGCTGATGAGTCATCTTTCTGCGAGCCTCACCAGTGTTCTGCTGCTGGAGCAGTCCCTCTAAAGCTACAGTATAGGCTGCTTGGCTTGGTGGCTAGCTGTGTCAGGTTTTCTTGATAGGATTGCAGAGAATCCCGTCTCTCTGTCTCTCTCATATGACAGGAGGAAAAGGAGCTGCTATTCACAAGACCTGGATAAAGCTTGTAATTTTACCGCTTTCTCTGTGCTGGGTAAGGATGGATTCCTAAAAAGCTGAGTCCGAAAATTTTTTCCTCTGATGAAAGTCACAAAACCTGATACTATCTTTATCATTCAAACTGTCCAACTCCAAGTTGATGATCTCACAAGGCCAGCCTAAATGCAAATGTAGCTATTTCAAAGGTGGTAAGATCAGTATGAAGAAAAACATAATTTACAAAATCCACTGGTGGAAAATAAGTACATTTAAGTCATGTACTTGAGTACAATTTTGAGGTACTTGTACTTAACCTAAGTAATAGCATTTTGTGTTTCTACTCCACTACATTTCAGAGGGAAATGTTGCCGTTTTTATTCCAGAACATTTGTCTGACAGCTATACTTACTAGTTGCTTTGCAGACTAATACTTTAACTGCAATAAATTTTACTATTTTATAAAATATAATTTTATAGATTACTCTATTCAGTAGTACAAAAAGTAGCTAAAGTTAGCTTCAACCAGCTAAAGCTAATGTACCAGCATTAGTAAAGAAATACTATTGGTTTAATAAAAAAACAATACTAAAAACTTAATTAATAATAAATAAAAAACACATAAAGGAATGTTTCAGATGCCTTTCATTTTGAATTGTTGATCAAATTAAAAACAAGAAAGTCGTAAGATTTTTGGCCTGTTGAAGGACTTTTTATCAATTAAAAAATGATCATGCAACAAATTGTGTCTTTTTAAACAAATGTGTCATTTATGATCATCAAGAATTAACATTTTAGGGAAGATTTGAAAAACTTTATTTCAATGAAGCAGTATAATCTTGAAAATATTTAAATTTCTATATGTAATATTGATGATATTTTGAGAGTTTTGTTGTTAGTGCACGTAATTCAGGGGGGCGCCCCCATGGCTTGGGGATCAGGGTGCTGGCCATGGGCCGCGGCATCCCCTGTTCAGGTCTTGCTGGGGACCTTTGTTGCATGTAACTTCGCCATTTTCTGTCATCTCTCTAATGGTGCTGTCCAGCACTAAATGTCTCCAATAATAATAATAATAACAAAATTAGTACACACAATTCAGATATAAATGGTTAGTTACGTAGCTACAATTAGCTGTTGTCCACAGACAGAAAAGCCAATGATGCCCCCACCATCCAGAAATGAGAAATAATATGAAAAGCAATTTGTCTCAAAGATGTAGGTGAGGACAAATGTTTGCTATTAGCACCTATGTGTCTTATATCTGTGTACATTAAAAATACTTTTTGACTACAGTACTACAGGTCTCAATGTCGCTGCTCCCTAGAAATGGCACAAGACTGGACAGATCAGTGTGAGAGAGATGAAGAGCTTCCACAAAAAGAGGCCAAATCAAAGCCCCTGTAAGCATACAGATTAATACTAGCCTTTCGCCTTTTACTTTATTCATAAGAAAATAAGATCTGAGCATAAGCCTGCCACTGAGGGTCTGTGTTTGAAGCCCCAAAGGAAGAAGGAGGGGGCTTCACAGGAGCAGGGACAACACTGGGAGATGTTGGCGAATGCCTATGAAAATGGATCTCTGAGTCCCAGCTCTTCATGTGGAAGAGGCCAGGAGACTGTTTCAAAGAACGCACATGAGGAGGCCAAGAGTGGAGCAATAACAAGACAGAGAAACAACATTACTTCAAGAGTTTCAAGCAACAGTCACTGTTCAGTTTTCTTTGTCTTTACTTTACAAACCTAAAAGGTTGGCTCAGTGTATTAGATTATTTGAGACCTACAAATAATAGCGAGTGTCACAAACAATTAAATGTAATCATTCTGCTTCATCAGATTCAGCTCATAGTTTTAAATCACTTTCTTAATGCTCACACCTAACACTCTTGGAGCCTATGCGAGAAGGGGAAATCATTGGTTTTCTTTGGGTGGAATCACTGCCACATGCAAGGTTTTATTTTAACACATGGTTTCTTGGGTCTGACTTAACTTAACTCATAGGCTCCAAACTGGTAGCATGTTTTTAAACAGGAAAGTGTAATTAACTCCACACTTGTTTCTGTCATGGCAAGTTCTCTCCTTAAAAGCTCTGATCACTTCTATCTGTCTTGCTTGCCTACGTTTGCAAATCCCGATAAGTCAGTTATATTGTGTGTGTGTGTGTGTGTGTGTGTGTGTGTGTGTGTGTGTGTGGCATCAAAAACATTGAACCAAAACCAACATTTTCAGAGTGTTTTCCGTGTTGTACAACTCTAACCACATTTGGCCTGTTACTAATCTCATCTCCAATCAAATTTCAATTCAGCCTGTTTTAATGATCGGTGCAGGAGCACAGCTTTCCAGGTAAAACACTCCACTGGATAAGAGGTTGAAGCTGTAACTCCACTGGCTGTTTACTGTGGCTGAGGGGAGCAATTATAAAAGCAGGAACATCACTGTAATCACTCAACGTAACGCATCCCAAATGCTCCCTCACCAAGTCCACCTTGTCTTCTAATCTCACACAATAGTGCTTTGCCATAATGAAAAGGAACTCTACAGTCTTGAAATACACTTAGTAATAAGGAGTTTTAGGAAATGCATAGATTAGCTGATGACACTATCTATCTATCTATCTATCTATGTGTAATTAATGCAGACACAATCATAAGCATGTATAGGAACATTCCATTGTGACTTTAAGTCATCACATGATGGTGATTAGGTCATTCTCTTAAGTAAGGTATTGCAGACACCCTCCCTCCCCATTTCCATTGTCTGTCAGTAGGCCCACAGTTTCTCTCACAGCTCTGTAGCTGACCAGAGTGTGTGAGAATAGCTCCTACCACACACACACACACACACACACACACACACACATTCACACAGGCATGATTAGTGATTACTCATTCATACTGTCTGTTTGAAGGGACATATCTCGCGCAAGCGAAGCCAGGAATAAAAAAGCGTGTGTGATCGGTGCCTTATATGGCAGGCGGCAATGCGCTGTCCAGGGTGCTGAAACTGACTGGCATTGGGGATGAGGGGTGGGGAGGGGGGGTACATGCAGCTCACTACATTAATCATATACTCACGCGCACATGCACGTAGACACAAACACACACAGCGTGTGCTAATATGGTCTTAGAGCATGTGCCAGTGAGTGAAAGCGCAGATGACATATCTTCCACATTCATTGATGAGAGCTATGCTGCTGCTGCTGCTGCTGATGGAGTCAGCAGCAGCCTATAGGCTTTGACTTGCGCTCTCAAGCAAGCGAGATGACAGAATGCTGAGCCTCCACTCCCTGCTTCTTGGGGATATCCATTTCTGCACCGGCTCAAACGCATTCACCCTACTTTAGTGACTTTAATCAGTCTCACAGTAGTCAGTTACAGTGGCTAAAAACGCACACACAAGCTTGCAGGTTCGGATACGGAGAACACACATGCACACAGTGTGGCCCTCTGCTGCTCACCATCACCACCGCTGTCATCATCATCCTCAGCCTAACCACATTATCAGCCTGGTGCAATGAAGGTGATCCAAAATTACCTTTCATCCAGTCCAGCACTTGCTTTGGTGTCCATTTACTTATAGGTTCCATAACCAAAGCCATGGTGTCACAGTCTCTCCGAGGTGAACGGCACAGGACTCAATGCAGGCGACATAAAACGACTTGTCAGTCACATCTGGAATGACACGGCGGTGGATAAATCTGAGGAAAAATAAATTGTTGTCAGTTCTATTTTCTCCATCGGAGCATGGCCGCCTGCAGAAACGGTGAACGGGATGCGGTGGTGCAATCCACGTGCACACAAAGAGACACGCGCGCACACACAAACACACACACACACACACACGATCTCTCCTTTCCCTCCCTCCCTCCTTTCTTTCCCTCACTCTCTCTCTTTCTCGTGCCTTCCCGCCAGCAGCCCGCGCGCTGTGAGAAGTGGATTCGGTGGGCGCGAGGGGATGGAGCGACCCCTCCCCTCTCCTCTTTGCCTCCCGCCCGCCTCGCTGCAGCATCACAAGGGCCACCACTCATAATAGAGACCAGGGAATGGTGCAACGCACACCATATAGGGAGGAACTCTCTCTGTATCCCCCTGCCCCCGCCCCTCTCTCACACACACTCACACACACCTACACTTACACACATCAACACACACACACACACACAGATACACATGCACATACAGACAGAGCAGCAAAGGCTTTATGCAAAAATAACTTAAACAACCATTCATGTATTTATTGTATAGGCTATAGGAAAACACATTAATGCATCATATTAAGTGCAGTAGGGTATGTTGAGTCCCACAGACATCCTAAAAGTACCTATAGAAATATTACGGAAATTCAAAAAGAAAGAATTCAGTTTTTTAAGCTCTCAATCTGTGGATGAGGAAATCAGCACCAGTTGTTAGGCGCCGCTGCACGGTGTATGGGTTCAGCTGTGAGGAACAGCGCCCCCTGCTGCGCACCTGGGACACAGGTGACGTCATGGATTAAAGCACACGCTCCACACACTTCCACCCAAATCAGGCTCATAGGGAGATGGGAAAATTAGCAGGAAAGAAAGAAAGTAACTCCCGCAAAATAAAAAAGTAAAGAAAAGGGAAGATAAATTTAAAAAAGAAAAAAAGAGCAGAAACACATTTTATAATGGCCATTCAACCTGTACAGTTACAACAACCATCATCACCATTGTCATCACCTGCATCATCACAGTCAACACAGTTACTGATCATAACGTGCTATCACGGAAGACATGTACTACAAGTGGTGTCTGTCTACTTGCCTGTGCACTTAATTAAATAAATAGTTACATCTGGAAATAACAGTATAAAGACTCAACATGTGACCCCTTAAAACACACACACACACACACACACACAGAGAGTAGGAACAAATCACAAAACGCTGCGATTATAGGTCAACTGACTTTATTTCTGTTACACAGAACACAAAAGAAAGCGAGTTTGTTGAGTGCAGAATGCCATGTAGCTCCTGAACTTTGTCCTGAACAGACAAGTGTGCCCTGCAAGGTAACAAAAGGGACTTTAGAAGTCCTTCAAATAACAATTTACAGCAGTTACTGGTTGTGTTTATGTTCTTGGTAAGGTATACCTTTTATGGGGCAAAGTTTGTTTTGTACTGGTTCGAAGGAGATAACATTTACTGGCCCATTTGCCAGATTCTTCATACAGGCTCCATGTCTTTCTGTCTGTCTCTCTCCATGATATATATATATATATTGTTAGCCACACTGCAGCAAGGATGTTACTAAGCTATTAGACTGTAATAAGACAGTATCTAAGTCAGGCTCACTTTCTGAAGGTGCTGTGTAGCCTATTTTAGGATGAAGAGATGTTTAGAAATAGAGTCATTTTTAAGTTAACTAAAACATCTGTAATACTGTCTATCTTGGGCATTTGATTACTAGGATATAAAGTAGGCCTAAGTCTTATTATCTATTCTTAAATTTGCAGTTTGCATCATCTTGTTTGCATGTCCATAGTTAAATGTGGTATCACCAAAGCAGTCTGTACAAGGAGAATCTATAAGATTTACCTAACTACAACATTTTGAAATAATAGAAAACTTTTCCTGGCATCATAAATCGCAACACTTGCGGTCTGATTAAACAGTAACATATTTTTGTAGCCTGCAGTGAAACAGTCCATTTCTACATTTCCTGTTGGCAACACTACATTATTGGCAAACTGAACTAAAAACACTTCAAAGGATACTCTGACATATTCAGATGATGGAGAAACAAACCATTTCCTATCCAAAGTTTCGTCTGCTTCTGTGTGTGTGTGTGTGTGTGTGTGTGTGTGTGTGTGTGACCTCCTCTTCCAGCAGCCCGCTGAACAAAGTCAATGGTGGGCGGGACCACGGTGCTCAGTTTTCAGCCCTTTCCGAATGTCACAGCGATGATCTTGAGCTCCCATTGGTTCCTGTCTGCAAACACGTCACAATCATGATTAGAATTGATGATCGGAGGTTCTGATTTCATTGTCTAGCAAAGGGGACGGGTGTAGAAATCTGCTGAATTTGAGCGTTCGTCTGATTTTGACATCAGAAATGGTAAGTAGGAAAGTGATTTCACTTTTTCGCTTCAGGGAGCCCTAACGGTTTTTTCGCTTGTGTCCGCTCGAAGCCACGGTCAGTGAGAATGACCACGCAAGGGTCGGGAAATCACAGATTTGAAGGAAAAGTTTAGCTGCAGCTATCCATTGGAAGAGCTATGCTAATGCTAGCTAACGTCGGCTGGCTCAGATATGGCCGCTCGGGCCTGCAAGCTAACGTAAGCAGTCTGCATGGCCATTGTGGAGATGCGGCGCTTACCCGGTTTGTTTACTGTCTGGCTCGCAGTCGTAAAGTTATGGCATGCGCTTCCTGTGCTGCAGTTGTGTTCTAAATCTCCAGGCTGTTGCCCTGGCGGCGTGCTAATCTGACGTGCCCGCAATATGTTCGGTAATACTCTGCGTAATGTTTCCATATTGACTGTAGCCATGCGCAGTGCCAAAATAAAACCTACTGGATGCTTATTGGTCGCACAGCATCCCCGTATGTGACATTTTCTGTGTTTATAATAACAACACTCGCAACTGTAAATTCAAACTTCCCCAGAGTTTCTCAGCCCTCAAAGAGTCATGACTTTAACCGGGCTGGTTGCTGCACTTTTCTCTTCTCCCCTGTCCCCCTCTCAGTGTAACCTTACAGGTACAAACGCGTAATAAACGTCGCACATTTGCTTTGAAACTTTGACATATTAGAAATTCACACTCACCGGAGCCCAGATATTACTGTTTGTGCGACAAGATAAAAGCTAGCTGTATCCAAAAAAGCAAGTAATTTAAGAAAGTGTTGTCTTGTTCTTTATAAAGCTCCAACAATTATCGTTTGGAGCTGGAATTATTTTACTTGACCTTGCTTATAATACGCAATAATCATAGATCTAACTTGTTATTAAAAAGTGTTTAACTGTAACGCTAGGAGAAATGCAAGGGCACACATTTCCATGGTTTTCAGTTGATAAGTAGAACAATGTCTCGCATGGGACAATATATTAGCTTGATTGATAGTGTTATTAATGTTACACAGTGGCTTGTCATAGCTTATTATACTTTGACTGACAGCGTGATGTGTATTTTACAGCTTCACAGTGTCAACTTTTTCAAAAATGTTGTTATATATTATATGACTGAGTGTTGACGGTTGTCTACAATATGGTGAAACTGATCGTTGCATTTCTCAATCTTGATCCAGAAAAGATATCATTATGCAAGTTATTCCTCGAAGAGAAGTGTGCTCATTAGTGCGTGGTTTGAGTTTACTCTCTTAAAAACAGCGTTGCCTGCTTTGCTCTGTCCTCAGCCACATTGCCCAGCAGCCTGCCAGGTACACTGAGGCAGGATGAGTGCAATCACAATTGCGCTAATCTAGAGACATGCAGGTTGCGCTGTGATCTGCATGGCTGCCCCGTTCCAGTCCGGTAGCAGAATGGATGCGTGGCCAAACAGACGTGGCCTGCAGGCTGTGAGTATATTGTATTCCGGTATGAGACGGAATAAAATGACATTGCTTGAGTTCTGGCAAATTGAAAACAAAATACTGGCAGTGCTGCAGGTGTAATCTTGAGACTGTGACATTTTCATGGGATAAAACTGTGCAGTAGGTGATGTATTAGCTAAATTAATGTATAAAGCAAAACAATATTGTGATTTATGGAACTGAATTGGCTACAAACACCCTCTTGTTGTGCAAGAGCAACAAGAAAGGAAATTTCACAAGAAGATAAAGTTGCACTAGGTGCTTTATCTCTTTAACCTAATCATCCAACATAATCTGTCAGTGAGCTGTGATTAGCAGTGAATTCTTACATAATGCAAAGTTTTGGGGGTTCTTTATCTTTGTGGTTGCCTCTCAGATGAACCTGCGGTCAGTGTTTACGGCTGAACAGCAGAGGATCCTGGAACGTTACTATGATAATGGGATGACCAATCAGAGCAAGGCTTGCTTCCAGCTAATACTCCAATGTGCTCAGGAGGCCAAACTGGACTTCAGCGTGGTCCGGGTAAAATGTGCTTGTGTGTGTGTGTGCGCGTGCGTGTGTGTGTGAGAAAGAGCAAGGAGGAGGAGGTAGAACTCTTCACCATGATTTGTGTTGCACTGTTTTGTTTTTTTTATAAGGGATGCCCATGTAATTCTGGGGCAAGTAATTGAGAGGGCGAGTCTAGTCTCTTCCCTGCGAGTTCTTCAGCTAATGCAGAGTCATGAATTATTATCCTCCCTTTGCTGAATTAGTCCCTTTTGTGTTTTACGGGATGCTTCTTTAAGTGATGTTACTGAGCTCCTTGCTCTTTTACCCCACAGACATGGGTTGGCAACAAAAGACGTAAGCTCGCCTCCAGGGTAGATCAAAATGGAGGCGTGCCTCATTCCTTATCCAGTCACGGACTCGCTGGGGGACTACTCTCCAATCACACGTTAGCCGGAGGTGCTCTGTCCAATCACGGCCTGGCGGCGGGGGCACTGCTACCTGCTGAAATGGCTGCAGCGCGGAGCATCCAGAACCGTGTGCACCTTGTCCCTCCATCCTCGTCCTTCCCTTCTTTCTCGTCAACATCCTCCTCTCCTTCCTCTTCCTCTCCCCTCAGCAGCGGAAGCAACAACAACAACAACAATAATGACGTCATACTGACCGGGATCTACTCTCTCAACTCCGTCCCTCGCTCCCGATCAAGACCTACAGCCCCCCCATCTCAGTCAGACTCCGAGCTTTCTGCACACACATCCTCATCTCTGATCAGCCAGGCCCTGCAGAGCAGGAGCTGCTCTACCTCCTCACCCCTCCACTCCAAGCTGGTCTCACTCTCTCAGAACTTCCCATCCCTCACATCTGCCTCAGGGCCTTTAGTCTACACTGCAGTCAGGAAGGGAACTTTACCCCTTGGGGAAGCAGGGGTAAGTGCAGGAGCAGGGGTAGTACCTCACAGTTGGACTAGGCAGTACGGTACAGCGCAAACTCGCCCTTGGTCCTCTTCCTCACAGTCCCAGACTCAGCTTCACGCCAGACCTCACTTCAACTCCCAACCTCAGCCGCCTGCCCCACAGAAGACTCGGGTCTCCCTCCCAGTGCAAAACTCTGGCCCCTCTGAACAGACACCTCGTATTCAGCAGGTCTTCACCTTGTCAGAAAGAGGCGAGGGAGACAGACTCAGACCGAGTCCCGTGTCTTCCCAGAAAGGCCAGGAGAGTCATAGGCCAGCGCCCTATCCTCTGGACACCAGTCATAACTTCTCCATTGCCATGGAAACTGGAGATGAAGCAGATGAGTGGCAAAGGGAAGAGGAGTTGGCAAATATGGCCGCTCACACGCACATCCACAGGGAGCAGATGTCAGCTAGCCCAACTGGTGCTGAGGTGTCTGTGGTGAGAGGAAGCCACTCGCCCCCTATGGCTAGCTCCAGACCCACACTGCTTCACAGCAACACAACCCTTCAAGGCAGCTACTCCCTCACAGCACAGACCTCACTTACAGGGGAATCCAGCTCACAGGTAGGAGAGGTTCTAAGTGCAGTTGCCGTTTTCCTTCAAAGTGAATTGAAAGACTCAAACTGACTATGTCTGTCTTTGTGTGCAGACTTCAATTGGTGTGTCTGCTGCCCCCTGGGTTATCAGCAATTCCAGAAAGAGAACAGTAAGTACTTTTATGTAACTTTAAATGCCAGATTTTGAACATGTAAAATAGGAAAAAACACATTTAAAGGTTGCTGTGTAGTTATAATAAGTTATTATATAAAATTAAAAATTATATGATGGGTTATAAAGTCTAGAGTCTGCTTACCATCAGCATGAATGTTCTGTAGTTAAACAGAAGTTTGTGTTTTCAGCTGCAGGATCGGACCCAGTTCAGTGACGCGGATCTCGTCCAGCTGAAGCGCTACTGGGACCGAGGCATGACCAGCCTGGGCTCAGTCTGCAGGGAAAAAATCACTGCTGCAGCGAACCAGCTCAATGTAGACACTGAAATAGTCAAGGTAACCAGCTCCACAGGATTATAAAATTAGTTTTGTAGGTGTATTCCCAGTGTTAAAAAAGTACAGCGAAATCTAGAAAAGTACTGGTTCCCTCCTGGTATAGAATGTCTGCAGTATCATTGAAACTACATAGATGTTTTGTAGGTTGAGAAAGCATTGAGCCTTATTCACATTCTCTGGCCACTTGTATTTGACATTTAGTGAAAATAAGATTACTTTGACTTGACTGAACTTTTGTGCACTGAAAGAAAACAGGAAATAGAAACATTTCTAGGTCACAGAAGTTTTCCGACTTACTTACTCAAAGTTGTGTAAAAGTCACGCAGTTATATATCAGGGCCACGGTAGGAATGCTGATGGACTAAATATAGTCTCTCTGTCATGACACACACATGACCTACTGCCATCTCACGTACTAGGATATTTATTGCAGGGTAGAAAAATCTTTGGCTCCGTAGGGAAGCAGTATGCCACTATAGGATGATCTTCAAATCATTGCAATAATTAAACAACTACTACTAATTTAATTTAGTATTTCACGAATACTGATCGGTGGGAGGCTATATGGTAACAGGTCACTGTGATTATTGAAAATTATTCTTCCTGACTTCACCTTTACATTCAACACATGGACACTTTATTTTGAAAAACTGATTGATAAACTTGATTTTTAGTCGAGTATTTTTCCCCCCATATATGTGACAATGTTGTCTTTTGTGTTTTCCAATTGGCAGACATGGATCAGTAACAGACGGAGGAAGTACCGCCTGATGGGTATTGAAATCCCTCCACCTAAAGGTGGGCCTGCTGTGTTCTCAACCTCATCTCCAGGAAACGATTCTCCGTTGGGCCTCAGTCCCGACGAGGATCGGCTCAGAACGCCTGAACTCGGAGATGACTTGAATGATGGGGGGTCTGTCTGCCTGTCTGAAGGTTAGGCTGCCGATACTATGCACACACCAACACCTACCTCTGTGTCGACTGTGTATCTCAGCATTCATGTAATGTTCTGGCTTCTAGATGGCACCATCGACTCACAACACAGAGACGCAGTAGATGGAACAGATTTCTCCGCTGCTGCTCCACTGGCCAATAATGTGGTACCTAATTATTTCTCTTATGTTGCAGTACAGCCTCATTTAATGTATATCCACTTTGGAATGGGCGTTCAGACCCAAATGTGATAAAATTAATCATTCATTTTACCTAAGCATTTAAGTTCATTAGTTTGTAGCAACAAAACGACACCAGCTGTACTTCATTAATCACATATCAACGTGGCACATTTGTGTAATGTGATGTTTAATAAGCCTTTTTCACAGCAGATTGTTTTGACGTGTCACAGTAGGAAAAGTACAGGTATTCCATTTTGCTGCTTTAGTGTCAGGGTCCTGGTATTGCGCATGCTGGTTCACTGTCACAGCCTCCAGGGACACTTGAATAGAACAGCGGCATCGTTAATTTTATTAGTAACACCTGGGCTCTTCCTACTGTAAGTCAAAATGTCCGCTGTGAAAAAGGCCTTTATTGAAAGATAATAATGTCCAATCACAAGCATTAGTTTCTAGCATGATGTGATAAGCAGGCTGCTGTTTAGTCAGACTTGCTTGAGGCAAATAGATTTTTATCATACAGACAAACTGCAAGTGTAATGTCTCCTCTTTGTAGGGATAAATGCAGTCATTATTTTTTGTTCCTCTTAGATTATTGAGTAATTGTGGTAAATAATTGTGATCTCAGAATAGAGAATTGTGTTCATTTTAATTGTTCTCTAGGGCAGATTAAAATGATAAAAGGCTAAACAAATAATCCAGCAAATGCTACATTCAGTGTAATATATCAAGTGTAATCACTTTTTAAATTGTTCCTCTAGTAATTCTGTCATCATTATCATCACCATGGATGATAGTGCTTTATCACACCATGTGTTTCATGCTTAGTATAAGCTAATTTATATAAATGTATAATCCTTACAGCATTATTGTAGAGAAAAGACAGCTGCCACGGATTTCTACAAATAAGAATGAGTAGAGTATTTTTGGGGGGTTTTTTGGGGGGGGGATGACAAAGTACAACATAAAGAAGAAAATCCATAGCAGATAATAGTCACAAAAAGACTGTCATGCTTAATCTTTTTTTTAATTAATTTTTTATTTTCTTATATGAATGACAACTTGGTCTGATCTCTGTGTTTTTCTTAACAGAAGATCGAAGTAATTGATGAGGACGAGGAAGAAGAAAATGATGATTATGATGGTGAATTGGTGGCTACAGACCTAGAGCAAATGCAGAGCCTGCTGGAATTCAAGGTGAAGACACTAATACAAGACACACACCTTTTTACACAGAGATCCCGCAATAATGCCATCATTACGTCGACTTTGCTCTTTTTTTTTACACTGAATCAAACAACCTTATCTTCCTGCCGTGTTCATAGGTTTTATACAGTACAGCGAGGCAGAAAGGTGCAATAGTGGTGCCTGGAACAGGCTATGTAAAAGGGGCTTATGACAGATTGAGCAAGCTGCAATTACAATCCTTTCTTCAAACTGAATTATTCATGCTTGTCCATCTACTGTTTCAGAAGTGCCAAGAATGAAAATTGGTGTAAAAATTTAAAAATAGCAAAAAAAGCATGGTAACTGACAAAGATCTCAAACTCTGAATGAACTTTTTGCCTCTTCTGTTTCAGCACGAGGAAGTGCAGTTCTTAGAGCATGAGCTAGAGAACCAAAAACACAAATACCAGGAGCTTGCAAGCTTCACGAAGAGCCTGCTCAGTGCTGTGAGGAATAATGACCTGCAGAGACAGCAGGTACATTCACAGTCATGTTTACACACTGACAAGAGCCATTTGAACGTCAAGCTTGAAGTGAAACATCAACATTTGTAGAAATTTGTAACCTGAAGTCTGCTGTTGTGTTTGTGTTTAGGAACTCATGGCCAGTCTACCTCAGCCTTCAGACCAGGACTGGGACATGGCAGTGGAGAGAGGAACCCAGCCTGGTGCTGCATCGGCGGACGCATCCTCCCACCACGATGACTCCCCGGGGGCTAGTACAAACAGCGTGGAGACTCCGCCGGCCCCAGCATACGAAGAAGTCCCACTGGTCTGCATAAACGAAGATGACACAATAACTGAAGTTACTGAGCCCTCTGCATCAGAGGAGCAACTACAGGAAGCCGTTTCAGAACAAAAGTGACTATTTCATGTACATCAGCTCACATAGACTCATGCAGATTTTTCCACACTCCACACAGAAGCCGGTTTCAGACGAGAGGGACTGTATGGTCTTATATTTACACAAACACTGGTAAACTGACCCTCCACGCCCAGTGCCTGTGGATTGATGCTTCATTATGACTGTTGGGCTGACAAATGCCTTTTTTACTGCATATCATTCGCCTTGCTCTGGACCAGTCCAGAGAGAACAATAAACGACCTCTAATTTATCCGTGTGTCTGTGTGCTTCAGTAAGAAAAGTGACACTTTTCTCGTGTATCACTGATTGAGAGATATATCAGCTTACAGTAGATGTAGAAAAACACAAGATATTTTTAAACCCTAACAGTAAAAAGAAGGAAGTTCACACCCAGTATTGACCGATTGTTTTGTAGATTGCAGTTTTAGACAAGAACATTTTGCAGTTAAATTAAGCTGCTCAACTTTGGGACCACCATCCAATTTGTCCAGATTACAGGTCATAAAATTCAAATGTGATTAATACAGTAACTCCAATGACAGTGACTGGGCTTGTTCTCATTTGGGAGATGTAAGATTTGAACTTAAACCAAACTAAGATTTGATTTAAACGTACACTTCAGTTCGACTTTAAAATTATGTCTATGGTGACCTGTCCTATTTTGAACTAGCCAGACTGTCCTAGTCTTGATAATCAATAGTTAGTTGACTAATCACATTTATAATTGTGTTTTAAATGTTGAAGTTGTGATTATGCATAAAGAAATGCAGACATGTAGTGTATGGCCGTTAGCTCACCACGCAAAGACTTTGCTCCTGTAGGTGGGAGAGAGACAGAGCTGGAGAGAAAGTGGATGAGCTTTAAGCCTCTTATTTCCACTTGGACTACGGATAGACAGGCTTATGAAACACTGGCTTTAAAACATTCAACTTAGACCCTTAGGATCAGGGGCTTAGATCTGTGACCAGCCTGCCACAAGAGGAGTCTGTTGCTGTCTAATTGCATCCTGCGTCAACCAAAAATTAAACTCCTTGTCTGTTACAATGGCAGTCACAAGGAAATGGTCCCATCACACGGATGCTTGCATGCCACCCGCAGAATCTAGCCCCCCACGCCACCACGTCCTCTCTCTCCTCTCTATCTCGAGATCCGTTGCTTTGGTTTGGACTGGGGAAATCCTTAACTGAATTGCGTCATAAATACGTCAATAAACTCTCATTCACTGACGACCAGGTACCACGATAGCCGCCATATTCGCATCTATGGCAGGGTAGCGGTGCTGTCGGCGAGCGTATGGTCCAGTCATCAACACCAACTATTCCCCGCACCGACCCCCCGATCCCATCCTGATAGCGGCCGCACAGCTCGGATCTGATCAGCAAAGCAGAATAGCAGGACTTCCACAGAGGGGAAGACATGCAACGTGGACCCGGGGTCTAGATAGACTACGATGTCTTAGACTTAGAGAGGAATCCTGGCACAAGATGGAGGTAAACAGCGTTAGTAGTGAGGTGAGTTGATAAATGCGCGTTTTGCATATTAATATGCTTAACATTGTTTTTTGGTTTGTGCTGTCCCGTCAAGTTAGCTTGCCTGCGAGGCTGGGTAGAGCTTAAATTCGCGTCACGACCCGCAGCGCACCGTGATGCATGCTAACACGCTTGCTAATGCTAACAGCTGGTTAGATGTTTATTTTTGTTGCACTGTCCGGGTTTATTAGTTTGATAGCCGCCCGTCCGGGGTTTCGCCACCGCGCATTGTTCCGCACATAGGACGAGCTCTCTATCCAACCCCACATGCCCCTTCCCGTTTGCTTTTGTTGTTATTTACACTTCTCAAGAGGAGTTTGCTTCATAGCTAGCTTAGCGTATGTAGCATTAGCACGTCGTTAGCATGCTAGCTGACAGCTTGCAGGCTTAAAACTTGAAGACAAGTTTTTTTCACCCCTCAGTGTCTAGTTAATGGAAGATCTGGTAAAGTGTTTTTTTTGTTTATATGTAGCAAAGCAATAAAACATTTAAGCAACGTTAAATTTATTCAAAGCTAAACACGAGCTGGGAGAGATGTGGTCAAACGGCTTTACAACTGAGGACTAGTTTGTCAACAGCACAAGTGAATTAGTGATGATGTTATCAGCTATAACTTTGGGTTTGCAAGCTACGTAACAACACATAATTTGATACAATTATTCATCTACACAGCTGACGATATGTAAACTGCATTGGCAAAGTGAAGTTGTGATTACCAATCAACCATATTCTTTCTACCAGGCTCATAACAACAGGGAACTCTTCAGTGAATGTACCTTTCTATTCATTATAGGCTAGCTAGTGGAAGTAATGAGACCTTTTTTTTAATTTTTATTTTTTAATCTAAATTCTACCTTGTGACAACTGTGGAAAGCTTCAGTTTGCTTTTACATGGGCCCTATGATGAGAGTTTTATTTATTTTTTTATTTTTTTATGTGCAGCTTAGCCAACCAGACATCCTAAACCTCTTCCATCTCTGGGATTCTTTGCAGCTTTTCACACCTACAGTACAAACTGTCTGTCTGACTGCTTTGACTGTTTTAAAGCCAGCAGAATACTATTGCAACATGAACATGTGGCCTAGTCCATTCCTTGTTGAACTAAACTCTCCTCCTGTGACTTATGCCACAGCTTTCTTAATCTTTTGCCAACCTGTTAAAGGACATCAGTGAATTTAGGTGGCATGGACATAGTGAGCAATTAATGAACTGTAATGCCTCAAATATATCAAAATGTTTTTCATCTCTTGCTACGAATAGGCACTTCAATCTAACGTTCACTGAATGCTGCAGCTTTGAAAGCTGCGAACATAACAGAAGTAAACATCAAGCTTAACCACTTAAACTGGGGCTAGTCGTTAATCCACTTTGTGTCCGTTTCTACTTTGAAGATTGTATTTATGGCAGTATCTGTGATTGTGAGACGATATTATGTATGGCTGTCAAGGTGCCTTTTCGAAGGCTGTAAAAGGCTCGCCTGGTTGTGCTGCAAGTGTAGGCTGCACTCTGTTACAAGCTGTGATGAGCCACAGCAAAGGTGGGAGTGAAAATGTATGTGTGAATTATGACACAAGCACTGCCCTGGCTTTGGCTAGCCTGGATGTCACACTTCAGAGATGCATATTTTTTTTTCTGCGTGATGTCTTGCTTTGAAGTGTACATCTTGACTGATCTGAATGTTCATCTTGTTAATGTTATTCTATAGTACTGAGATATTGGAAAGTGGTTTGTTGGCCTCTGTTCTGACGATGTACATGAGTGTATGTTTGTGGCTCCACCCACTGAGTGGGCTTGCGTAGCGCTATGACTCATCCCCCCTCTTCAGAGGCTTGATGGAATTCAACACACAAACACAGTGGACTGAATACATCATGCAGGCTGAGCTTCAGCACAGAACTGAAATATGCAGACCTGGATAATAATGTTACAGTCGTCACTTTATTGTCTGATTTACTATCAGGTGCTGAGATATCTTGACATTCCTCTGCTGACAATATCATAGTGTATAGCTGTTTTAAATAAATGAAAGAGAGGCTTAAAACAGGCTCCAAAATGTAACTCTGAGTTTAACAAAGAATGTCTATTTGTGTGTGATAATTCCACCATAAGCCAGAACCCCCGAAAGAGCTGGACCCTAGTTTGTCCTCAAGAGGATGAATGCTGTCTGCAGCCCTTGCAAACATCAGACTCTCAGGGCCAGTCAGACATGTTGTTTTTGCTCTGGGTGGGGATTAAGCTAGAATGCTAATAATGAGGGGCTTTATAGGGACAGGATGAGTCCTGGACAGCTGGACAGGCTTAGAGTATGGACTCCATACTGTTTGACAACAAATAGAGCTCCAGCTGGAAAAGTGAAAGCGCGATGTTATTGCATGTGACTCACTGATTTCATCTGTTGAATCTTCCATCATACATGTGGGCGTGCAGCAGCTGCAGTCATAGTCCTGCTCAGCGAAAAAAACAAAAACAAGGATGAACAAGCCTTGTTAGAGTGTTTACTGTTCTCGACTCCTCTGATGAAATTTGTTGGTTTGGCTGCAGGTCAATGGGCATCAGATCATGGACGAGCCCATGGAGGAGGGAGAGTCTTTCTCACACTGTGTAAGTAATGATGGGCTCGAGGTCCTGGAGCATATGTGTGTGAATGTGGGCTCTCTTGTGTGTGGCTGCCTCATACTGATACTGTTTGTGTAGGATGAAGGGACATATAAGGAGATTCCTATCACTCACCACGTGAAAGAGGGCTGCGAGAAAGCTGATCCATCTCAGTTTGAACTGCTCAAAGTCCTCGGCCAGGGCTCTTTTGGCAAGGTGAGGAAAGCCCAGCAGACAAATCAAATGTTTCCATCAGTGCTATCGTTTGCGTGTTTCTAAATTTTCTCCTGCTCTCTCAGGTGTTTCTTGTCAGGAAGATCCTGGGTCCAGATGCTGGTCAGTTATATGCAATGAAAGTTCTAAAAAAGGCATCTTTGAAAGGTAAAGCGACGTTGTTTTTAAATCTATATCCACACAAAACGCCACATTGCAAATCCCCTGTTATGTTCTGTCCTCAGTGTTGAATTTCTCTCTCTTGCTGTCCCTTCCTGTTTTGGGTCTCCAGTCAGGGACAGAGTTCGCACGAAGATGGAAAGAGACATTTTAGTGGAAGTCAATCATCCCTTCATAGTGAAATTGCACTACGGTAAGGGAAGTGTTCATATTTACATAGTGTGCAGGTGATTATAGATGATCATACAGATTACATCCCAGTTCGGGATGAATTGGGAATAAGCTGCTTATGTGCATCTTTATGATCCAATCAGAAACATCACTGTTAACAACATTTATCAGAACATTTTGAAGTCATTGAACAGGAGTTATCCCCAATTAGTCAAGTTTATTATTAGTACAGTTTTTCACATACAAAGTTGCCACAATATACATAAAAATAACATTAAAGACAGGGGACCTAATATCTGCTTTTATTCTGATAAATCACTATCATCGTTGTTAACGTTAGTAAGCTGCTGCTATTCTACGTGCGTTACGATGTTAACAAGTGTCACCATGAAACCCAAACACTTGAGTGTCTCTGAAATCAGAATATAATCAGTTTTTTAGGTAAATTACTTCCTTGTGTCCTTGTCTCCCAGCCTTCCAGACAGAAGGGAAACTGTATTTAATACTGGACTTTCTCAGGGGTGGGGATGTATTCACTCGCTTATCCAAAGAGGTAAGCGGA